CCAAAATAGCTAAACATTCAGCATGCATATACAATTTCAGGCTTTTTTAAAATTCTATTATTCACATTATAATAATTTTTTGTTTGTAATTTAATTTTGGGCTAATCATATCGGATAGCTATCTACAATTTTCTTTATCCACAAAAATAACTACCAAACCACACAGATGAAGATATACTACTGTAGTATAATTAAAACATAGATATTAATTCTTAATTAAAAAAAAATAGATACACTATATCATTTCACTAAATCTTTAATCATTTTTATAGAGGTATCTTTCTGGACTGCTGGCCATAATATCTGTGAATTCTAAACCATTACAGTTATTAGAATGATATTATCCATTCACTGGAGAATAAAACATATGGTGTAAACCAAAAGGTATACAAATAAACAGTAACTGATAACAAAGCCTGCCCTTATTAAATCTCGAAACTTGTGAGATTAAAAATTATTTTTAAAACAAGGGGAAAAAATAGTTGGTTTCATTAGTAGAATTTTAAAAATAATAACAGAAAACATTAAGTGACAAAGAGGCATGTGACAAAAAAGAAAATTCCTTACAAAATTTCTCACTTTCCTGACATAAAATGCTCATGAGAAGTATACACAAATATCATAAGTACATATTAGAGTAAGAAGAAATAAATAGAAGCTGTTAGAAAAGTCATCATAAACTATTTAATGTGTTATGATTTGTTACTTCTGTTAATGTTTTTTTTTTTTTTTTTTTTTTTTTTTTTATGTAATATAAATATAAAACCATAAGAACTTAATAAATAAAATAGTAACATTAAAAAAAAAATCAAAATCTAAATAAACTAGTGAAATAATAATATACAAAAAAATAAAGAAAGCAACTTTAGGATTTGGGATAGTAAAAGATAGATCCTGATCTTTTACTATCCCAAATCCTAATGTTGGTTTATTTATTTTTTTGTATCTTATTATTTCACTAGTTTATTTAGATTTTGGTACTAGTTCACAAGAGTTCTGCATGGATTACGGGTGGTTCACAATCACTTCGATCACACTTGTTCATGGAATCCCGAAAACAGCCGAATGTTGCCATATTTTATGACGTCAGCTATTGCCCCATCTCACACCTTTTCATACATTTTTGAAAAAAAAAAATCAACGTATTCCCTTCGTGGAACTTCCTTATTAACAATTTATTAACGAATTGTGGATTTACTGGTTTATCAATTATTAATTTTTAATATAACGGTTATCACTGTGAAAGAAAAAGAAAAAATATATATAAAATAATGTTTGAGTCGTTTCTTCAAGGCCTGTTAAAAAAAAAATGCTTTTACAAATAACATTTTTATTGACACATGCTTACATGTAGTGGCTGTAAATACGCATTTACTGTATACTATCTTTTATAACTGTGTATAAAAGATTTTTTTACCATTTGGATAAGAAATAATTTGATGTAATACATTATCTTTTTATTTGTTATTCGAGTTTTTCAATAGAAGTTGGAATAATTGCATTTATAATTTATTTTAGCAAGCCTTTTTTAGTTTGTCATCTATCTAGTTTATGTAATTTTTTGGATTTCTAATAATAGAAGCATCAACTATTTTCTAGTGAAGGTAAATCTGCTTCTACTACATAACTGAACATGATTAAGGTTATAGAAGTACTTAAACAGAGGGAAAGTTAATAGTAACTGTTCCAAGAGATCGGTCGCCTTCGTTCTCTTTCGGATAAACCCGAACGCATTCGGGATTCCATGAACAAGTGTGACCGAAGTGATTGTGAACCATGCGTAATCCGTGCGGAACTCTTGTGAACTAGTACCTAGATTTTTATTTGTTTTTTAATGTTACTATTTTATTTATTATTTTTTTCCGTTTCATTCAAAATTTTAAATTGAGATCACTAAAATGTACCTATAGTTCATTATAATAATATACATTGAAAGAAATTTGTTTAAAATTTTTAAAACCAGATGTGGATATTTAAATGACACATTTATTTTCTCTTTGGAAACAAGAAAATAGAGTGTTTAATAAAATAAAAAATTCTGAAATTAATTTTAAATATTACAAAACAAGAATTATTTAAAAACAATAATACGCAATAAACTTAAAAATATTATTCACATTTTTAAAAACATTGCAATTTTTAAAATACAAAAACTTCCTAATTTTTAATTACAAATAATTTTACTTCAAAAATATTTTTAAAAATTGACAAATAAAAACCTTCAGATTAAATTTAAGCAAATACCACTTGAAATAATTAGGCCAACCGCTATACCCGTTAATTAATTCATTTATTCTGTTTGTAGATGACAATGCTTTGATTAAATTGTATACTAAAATTGAATAAAAGTTTAAATAAATAGCAAAAGTAATTTGGATAACAATGACGACAAAATATAAGATGATATTGTACAAAGATATAGATATCAGTATAAATAATGCAGCACTACAAAGAAATAAAACTGCAGGTCCCCCAGTACAAAAGAGATGATAGGAAAACAAATTAAAATCGAATACAGGATTTCATGGCATAATTCACATTATTTAAACCTTGAATAATGTTAATTACAATGTTTCAAAATATATTATTAATCATGTGATACGCTTTTTATTACATTCTATTAAAATAAAAATTATACCTGTAATAAATAAGCACAGACATATAATTCGATTTTAGAAATACGAATGATATAAAACTTATAAAAGAAAAAAAACCATTTTCACTATCAAACAGAAACGGACAAAATAGGCCTCCATAATGTTTTATTATATTGATAGAACCACCTCTTAATAAAACAAGGAGAATAACAAGATATTTTTACTAGGTAAAGAAAACCCTATTTAATTGTAAATAAATGTTCATAAGCATTTTTAAAACTAATGGCAAATCATTCACTTTAAAATCATTTCAGTTTAATAGTCAATAAAACACCTGCACTTACAGGAAGTACTCTTTTCTATAATAATATAATTTAAAATGATAAAGGGAAATTTTGAAATTGATAATTATAATTTAACAGCATGAAAACTGCTGTTTGTTTTTAAACAAAGATACAACAAGGAAACCAAATGATTATTTAACTAAAATGAATACTTTCATCAGAATGAAAAATTAATAATACATAGGTGATCAAGATATGATTTTAGCATAAACAAAAAAAATATCATTCACCATATTTAATAACAGAATGTAATGAAAATGATTCCAATGATGAGATAAAGCTTACTTCATTTTTTTCACAATCCCCCTTTTATATATGGTTTGTTTCTTATTTATGTTTCTTCTACTGTTTCATAGATACATATTAAGGTTTTCCTGAGCAATAGCTTATAATGTTGTAAATTATTTTACTCATAGTTTAAATAATACCAAATATTGAGAGAGAAAATCTGATAAAAATTACTACTTATGAATTTTAATATTATGTTTTGAAGTTTTTACATTGAAATTAGTTTCACTATAAATGCCAGACATTTTGTAGGACCATAGTTAACTCAAATTTCATGTATTACATAATGATAACGCTCTCTAAGAATAAGCTTTTTAACCCAAAGCTTAAGCAATAAAGAATTGAGAAGCTTATAGTGCATTAGGAGAAGTATGTAAGAACTAATAGTCTATTTTGATTTTGATATAATAGCTATAAATTGTAGTTCTATTCATTATTCTTCAATTATTCAAGAAATCCGTAATAATTCTATGATTATTGTTGTCCTAAAAACTGATATATTATGCAATATTGTTCACTTTAAAAAAAGTAAATTCTATATTTGGGAATTAACACAAAAATTAAAAACTGTAAAAATAAATTACTGTTACATTAACAACAATGCAATAAATTACATACTTTTTCCATAGTTCCTTCACTGCTTGATCATGTAACTAATAATCATTACTCATTAAGCAATGTAATGATATACCAAATAAAACCAGATTTGAGGGAACAAAATCATTTTAATCTTAAACAAAAGATATAGTTATTTTAAAATCTTTTATCCAAAAATTCAAAATGATTCCAAAGAAATGAAAAACAAAGATGAGAATTTTCCTGTTAAACAAAATTCTTTTGATTCATTTTGTATTTGCTTGCGTTAACAAATAAACATGTAATTGAAAGGTTATACCTAAATTAAAAAAGAATAAATACTTTATAAATTTTCAAAATAGAAATTTTTAGAGAAATGATAATAGTAGAAACCCAAACCTTCAACATCAGATTACTTTTTCTAATCAAAGAAGTAACAGAATTTATGTAGAATGTTAACTTAATTGTTAATTATAACAACAATGAGTAATTAATTAATTTTAGAACTTGTTGTTACCCCAATAAACCTAATTATAAAATGATAAACTAACATTAAGGTCCTTCAAAGTTATTTGGTAGTTCATATTTAATATATATATATATATATATATATATATATATATATATATATATATATATATATATATATATATATATATAAATTTAATGGGTTGTCCGATAAGATAACTGATGATTATATATGTAGGCTAGGTGGAAGGATTAATAGCAGATCCATCGAATATATGACGAATGTACTACTATGTCATATAAAAAATTTAAATAAAAAAAATAGAATACACAAACCCGAGGAAATAAAATGTTAATAAAAGGAAATTCCTCTTTTGCAAACTAAGTAAAATTAAACAATTTTAATGTCTTCAAATAAATGATTATTACTTTTCTTTTTTAAGATTGTTAATAAAACATATTGCTAACTACACAATTATTTAGTCTATTTATTATTAACAAATTGATTAGTAACAAATTTTACATTAGTAAAATAAATGAGAAATGATAAGATTAGTCCTCAGAAACTAAAATAGTTATACAACTCATTACTAATACACTTTCTCTGAATAATACAATATAAACACCCTCATTTTAATTTAATTTCAAGCAATACAGATTATGTGGAAATAAAATACTATATATCAAAAACAAAAAGGAAAAGTTTCAATGGAGAATTAGTATATACCTAGTAATAAATTGGGTGATTCAATACCCATTTTTGAAATCAAAACATCTGCTGCAAATGTGAATGATGCTCCAAGTAGAAATCCAAGGCACGCTGGAATAAATGCATATTGGCCACTTGCTCCATATACGTTGGACTCCTTCGCCATTTCAATAGCAGGACCGAGCAGGGACCAATAAGATGCTGCCGTCATTACACCAGCAGCAAACCCCAAACTAGTATCCAATAATTTTGGCTGGAATAGAAGAAATCAACAGTTATAAAATCACATGCAACCCATCGATCCCATCAAATACTACAAATAGAAATTATAATATTTCAATCTAATGACAGATAAATGACTACCTGGGTTCCTCTGAAGAAAATAACCATCAAAGCACCAGCAGCAGTTACAGCCCATGTAAAACAGGTGCCTAATAGGGCTTGTACAATTGGTTTATACTCCTTAATCATCTTTCAACCTTAGTTGCAACAAAGTTAAGTCTAAATCTCAATTAAATTAAAGTAAGAAAGGATAACACCAAAACGGGGCTATCCCAAAAGGACCTTTCTGTCAAGATTGATAAAATAGATTTTTGTTCAAAGTAGAAAGGACTAAAGCCATGAGTTATTGTCCTCTGGTTCCTTGTTCAAAAAATGCAGCCAATTCCTGACATCTTCATATCACAGACGTTGTACAGTCAAAATTGTAAAATGTACCTGTCGGCGGTTTTTGAACTTTATCCAGATATATACTGCCAACCTGATAATGCATTCGTTTTCCAGGATACTTGGACAAATATTTACGAGCCAGACCACGCTCCAAGGTTGACACCACTACACCAACAACCTCAATTGAAAGGACAAATAAATGATGAGTTACGTTGGGCCAGGTTAGAGAACCACAAGAAGATAACAACAAGATATTTGATAATGGAGTTTAAATGCCCACCTTCCACAGTTCTGACTACGTCAGAGGTGTCATGGAGAAGGTTAGCAGGCAGGTTATGAAAAGGTTGTTAGCTCCAGAAGTCTTTTGACGTTCCTGTCAGACGTTGAAGAGATTTTCTTTTGCCAATTTTAAATTTTGTTATTTTATAAAAATCTCGATTGAAAAACTTTCTAATGAATAGCCAAAATTTTCTACTTTAGGTCGTACAGCTGATATTTCCACCCAGGGCATATTATGGTGTGTACTGTGTAAATTATAAGTGGTGATGGTTTCCCCCACCAATTATACCATTACTAATTTTTTCCTCTAAATAATTTCATATTAGAAAACTTATTTATTAATCAATGTTTGTTTTATTTCCTTGACTGCTATGCCTCATCTTGATGATTCAGTAATGGTTAGTTGTCTCATCAAGTTTTAAAATATTTTTTTCTATATTATTTTTTAATTTTTTTTAATATTCCAGGCACCCCTAATTGAAGACAATCCTACTCCATTTAGGATAGAGCCAGGGAGTGGTGGTGCTTTACCGTAAGATGAATTATTCATATTGACTTATTTTTTATGATTTATAAAACTAATTAAGAAACAATTGTTACAGACATCCTGTTGTTACATTTTTCCATATTGCTTTCCGAGGTGCCGCTTTATTCTTTTATATAATATGCAGCTGGTTTAGTGACAGTTTTATAACAAGCTTTATCATTGTAGTCCTACTGCTTTCATTGGATTTTTGGACAGTAAAGAATGTTACAGGTAAATCGGAAATTTACAGATATAATTTTGGTTGAACTGAAGGATAGAATTTCATGTCAATATATGAAGATGTAACTAGATTTATCAGTTATTACCTAATTTTTGATCATTGATATATAGTGTTGTAGAATCTGGACATTGTTACAGAAATTCATCCTATAGATTGGTTCTTTTTGTTTTGTTGTAAATTACCATTGTGTTTATTCTTATTCTATTACTTTTACTGTCAATATAGGCCGTATTATGGTTGGATTGAGATGGTGGAACTACATAGATGATAATGGTGTTTCTCATTGGGTGTACGAATCTAAAAAGGTATGTGATATTGTAAATTATTTTTCTATATTTTTATCACCTGTAATTTCACAGATTATTTCTTGCTAATAACTTCAATATTGAGCCTGGCTGTGATGGAAATTTTCTTTTCAATTAGACTAATATTAAATGGGATTAGAAAACCCATATAGAGTTTAGCAATAATGAATACAACATTTAATTTATAAGCGAGTAACCTTGTACATCTTAAGTTGTATTGATTGGGGGTAGAAAGTTTATTTTTATTTTCTTGTATAGGGTATGATTGAGATACAAAATCCAAGTTTTCAATCTCGGCACCTCCACTCTCTCCCCCTTTCCTCCAGATCACTTTTGAATATCCCAAAAACTTCCCATATCCCAAATTTTCCCACTTTTTTTTAGTTTTTCCCAATTTTTTCTATGAGGCAGCACGTTTTCGATAAAAACATTCTATGCATTTCAAAACTAGATTAAATATTATAGGTGATAAATAGTCAGAACGCAGTCATTGTGAATACTTTTTAATTGTACCAACATTTCAGCCCAAGCATGTGGATCATTATCAGGGCATGTTGAAGTTATTCAAGTACTGAAGTAGTAGTCCAGTAAGTGGGGCACATGGCCCTCTTTGCCAACCCCTGATGGCTACCTTGAGGTTGCCGTCGCGTACTTACCAGAGTGGGAATCTCAAGATTCATTTCCCGGGGCCGCTAAGAAATGAAAAATAACTGACCTCGGTAAGAATCGAACCTACAGTGTTCAGAATCGGGGACTCTGGGATCCATGCCTCAATATGCTCGGCCTTCTCATCTTCACACATGTTGATAATTATTAATTTATAGAAATAATGGTATCTGTAACATCTGGGCTAGTATTAATTAATATAATTAATTGTAACTTTTAACCTGTTATCGTTCATGGACTTCTTTAATAGCATCGCTGGCGAGTTAGCTGTCAGAATAGTCAGACGTCTTCCCACATTATTGCCCTCATTGCTCAGTAGGTTAAGGCAGGTTTTCACCATATTGGTCATTACAGATTCTACAGATAACCGAACACTTCAAATTTGCTTTCTGGCAGCTGCGGGAATTTCTACATTCCTTCTTGCAACTGAAAGAAATCATGTTTAGCAGATTTCAGAGAGCTACTTCACTCAACACCACCTTTGGGAAAACCCTCGAACTCTAGGAACCCATCCCCATTCGAGCAGAATCCCCAGTCCTACAATGTGAGGAAGCACTATTAAAAGGCCAACGGTTGTGCTAGGAGGTGATTTGGCTAAAATCACGCTCAACTGTCAGGGTTTTCCCACTTTATAAAGGCTGGCTGAGCCCCAGGAGGGACTCCCGATGCCAGGGTCGATCTACAGCTGATGATAAATTACTATTCATCAGCCGGACACAAACTCGGGACCTTAAAGCTTTGGAAGTCCATGCTCACCCACTGAGCTACCTATCTCCCTATGGTTATCAAAGGACATACTAAAAAAAAATAAGTACTAAGTGCTGTCAAATAAATACTAAATTTTCAAAATAGTATTTTATTATTGCTTCCTGCAGTGTCCGATATTAACAATTAAAATACTATTTTGAAAATGTAGTATTTGTTTGACCACCCCACCCACCCTCCCTCCGACCAACTCCTCATATTATATCATGGTCAACCCTCTCTACATCATTATAAATATTTAAATGTTTTTTTCCCTATGATAGTATTTTTGATGTTTTCCATCTGCTGTCAGTAAAAAGAGAAATAAAAAAAAAAGTTAGGCTTTGCGCTAATGTTGCTGTTAAGTTAGATAATTGTGTTTCCCAGTGTTGAAATACATGGACACAGTTGACTTATATTTGGCCAATCAACAATTACAGTTTTCACGATACTATAAGTTCATTTTTTTTTTTTGCTTCCTCACTAACGAAGGTAGGGAAGCATTGTATTCGTGCGAGAGGTTAAAAAAAATTTTGTACTCAGAATTGGAAATTTCCACTCACGTTTTACGTTTCAGACATCAAGGATCAAGTTTGGTTCGGTGTCTGTCTGTCTCTAGTCAAATCGATGTGACGGGCATATCAGCTAGTACCATTCATCCAATTTTCAGAGATTATGCAGATTGGTGCCAAGATGGTCCCGTAACAATTTTATCAAATTCCATCCAGCACTTCTGCTTACGCACACGCAAGCGTATTTTTTTAGATATGCCAATATTTCAGAAAGAGCTCGTTCAATTTGGTTCAAAACTAGAAAAAATACTTTCGTTTTCCGATCAGCAAACGTATTATTTGGCAAGTCTATAGTTTGAAAACTGCGCGTTCAATTTGACCCAAACTTGGAGGAAATTTGGAGAATAGTAAAGAAATTTCCACAATTCACCAAAAAGGCCTGACTCTAGCCAATTGAATAGGATTGACTTCCTGTATCTTCACCCTCAGTTGACTATCTTTTACTCAATGCTATAGTTTTAATTGGTAAGCCGAAGGCTTTAGGTTTTGTAGTGCCTATGTTCATAATTCTGTCTTGTTGCGTTTCATAACTCATCTTTGAGTTGAGGTTCTGAATTCATTTTGTTAAAATCAATAAACATGATAATTTAAAAAATAAAGCTTTTTTATGAACTTTCAAGGTTATATGAATATATTTTCATTTTTTAAATAATCATGACTGTTATTTTTATAATTACTATTCTATCACTAAAAATGATGAGTTAGTGTCAAGAAATAATTTATTGACTTGGAAATGAGGCTACATTATTATACATTATGTCACTTTAAGATCGTATCAATAATTTTTAATGGTGGATTAGTGACACATTAAAATAAACTCTCATTATATAAAAATTATATTCAGATAATAACTCAAATTATTTTAATTATCAGTTTTCAATTCATAATGAGTAATAGATAGCTTTGACAGATAACCACAATAAAATAACCCCTCCTTATTTTTAGTAACCTCATTGAATATTTTTTAAATGTAATTTAATTTATTGTTCAATATATTATTTTGGACTCTTTATTTATCTTTGATTATATTTTTTTTATTTTAAGGAACCTGAAAGAAGTATGATGATAAGTGGAACAGAATCAAAGATTTTTTGGGCAGGCCTTTTCGTTTTTCCATTTTTCTGGGGCCTCATGTTTATAGCCGCATTCTTCAGTCTGAAGTTTAAATGGCTTGTAAGTTTGCATTTCAATACTAAATGTAAAGATCTATCATCATTCAATCTTATTACATTAATTATTAAATACTATTGTTTAATAATTCTAACTGTTTCAGGTTTTAGTAATAATTGCCTTAGCTTTGAACGGATCAAATGTTTATGGGTATCTTAAGTGCAAGTTTGGTAAAAGTGACAAAAGTATTCATGAAACTTTGACTTCGGTTACATCTGGCTTTATTAGAGATCAAGTTGTTCAAAATGTAATTATAGATATAATTATTGTTGTCAATAGATAATTAATGGTTTATATTACTCTTAGAAATATTTTTTATCATTCATTTTATAAATATTTTCGTAATGTACGTTTTAGGTTCTGAATTCTGCAATGAACCCTCAGTCAGCACCTGCGCAACAGAACCCACCACATAACATTGTGTAAAATAATTTAATTTTATCGACTAATTGAAAATTATGTATAATTGCTGTATATAGTGCTACAATATTCTTGTCATGTATTATTGGAAGAGACTATGTAATATTATTTCTTGGTTGTAAATCATTGTAATATAATTTACAAAATTAAATAACTTGAATTATGTTAATTTATAATTTAGATCTTAAATTATAAATTTTTAATATATATTTATTGAAGGGTATATATTTTTTTTATAACCTATTCTAAGTGGTTCACTGATCAAAGTAGCACTAAATCTAGTTCCTACAATTAGCTTATTTTCAGCCTTGTCTAAAATGATAATTAAATTAATAGATATAAATTTTCATAGAAATAAAAAATATACGTGACATGACAGAGGGAAAAACTTTTTTATTTATTCCAATTCGAAGAAAAGAAAAATTTATTTTGAAAAATAGTTTTTATATTTAGGCTTTAGTAGAGGAAGTTTAGAAAAACTTCATAAACTGTTTCTTAACAATATTATATAAGCTGAACCAATTATTTTCACAAGGTTGTGAATTATGAAAAAAATAATTTATTAAGAAACCAAAATATAATGTAAATATTTTTGTTGTTAGGTGATGTTTTAGTACATTTTAAAATTAGCATTTTTGTGAAATTTTAAATTGTAAATGCATTTTTATAACTGAATCTGAAATCATTAAAATATCAGAGAGTAATGAGAAATATAAGTTCTCTAATTCATTTGATTTTTTTCCTAAAATACATGATAATTCATCCATCTGGATTTATATTCTTGAAAAAAGTCTGTTTTATTGACTTTTTTTTTAAAGAGTAAAAGATTAATGAATAGCTTTGTAATTGTAAACGCGTCCCTTTCTCCAACCACTACACTGAGTTAGGATGGCTCTTCCCCTCCTTCAGAAGATAATATTTCCTAGGCACATTGCTTTATCAAATTATCAACATCATCACTCTTCTTATGCCTACAACCTTCTCCAATTCAAGTCCTTAGTCCATTCCCTAACAAGATCTCGGCCATCTGACCTTTACATCTTTTCTCACAGATCTGCCCCATTCCAAAACTCCTTTGTTGCTTGTTCCATCAATTTCTGGAATTCCCTCCCTTTCAAAATTTTCGGTCTCCCTGTTCACATTCAAAAATCTACTATTTCTATTCCTTTTTCAAAAACTATCAGATACTTGCTAATTGACATTATACATGTATTTTATGTCAGTTAGCACCATATGATAATGCTGTTCTTTGCTAGAGATATTACATGAATTTCCTACTTTTGATACCACTCAATACATTATTTTTTTAATTACTACTAATGTTTTTCTTATATACAATTAAACTTTTATACGTATCTTCCATAATAGATGATCATGCTACTCAATGATGTATTTACATATTATCCATCATTTACATAATTAGGTTTGTATTGACAGACACAGCTTTCATTTTTCAAACTAGAAACTTCTTAAAGCTGAACTTACCTTAAACAAGAGCTTATTTATGAGAATTTAATTTATTTTTTCTTTCTTCTTTTTTTGAAGTGTATGTTTATGTTGTCTACCATTGTATATAGTTTTTATTTTTTTATATAGTTTGTTCACTTAATGTTTTCTCTACTTTTTTTTTAATTTTATTTATTGTTTTAAATTTTTAGGGCAGAAGTAGTCTTGTCTTTTTGTACAATTTTGTTATTCTAAAGAGACTTTGTCCCAGAATAAAGTTGTTTTCTATCTATCTATATATATGCATTCATAGTTTTCACTTTTGCATAGTCAAAATCAACAAGGTGTTTAAGGCAAATTTTATAATTCAATTTTTTATGTACTGGTCTTCTTCCAAGCTAGCTATATGTAGCGTTTGAGGAAAAATGAGGAATCTTTTGAATACTCCTCTTTTATGTTTTACCAGTCAATAAATGTAGAGCCACCAGTTTCGGTTGATAAGGAGGTTCAAGAATGGGAGTTTTTGTGGCCGAATATTTGTAGAAACTCAGCAAATTTCTTCTACCCTCCCTACAAAAAGTCAACCACAATAACCCCTATCACATTATTAATTCAATTCACGTCAAAAAACTATCTAAAGTTATCTTTCCATACCCTGATCAGATCTCTGGCAATGTGAAATTCTTTAGCACCTGACATAATTCTTAATGACCTCCTAGATTCCATTATTTCCTCAAAATGTTATTTTCATTAAAAAATATGTCAATGACCTCCTTGTTCCCAACCCATACAGAACCTTTCTTCATTTAGTTCTTACCAACCCTGTCTTCGTTTCACCATTAAGAAAGAAGTTAACCATTCACTCCTCACATATTCAGGCATACTTCTCGCCTTGTTTTAATTTTTCAAAACCTTAAATTGTAATGATGTTCAGTGATAGAAATCGTACAAGATATAATTGCACATACTGTTTATTAGACATTTTTAAATAAATAAAATTTTGTTTTTATTTTAAAAGAAATACATTACTTTTATTAATAGAACAATCATAAATTATTTCTCAATATTTTCAACATCTAAGTACATACAGAATGTAATTAGTCTAACATGTACATTAAAAATTAATTAAATAAATACTTCTTTAAGAAAAATCTTTGTAAGTCTATTTCAAACAAGAGAACATCATACCTTATCTGATTCTCTATTATTTATTAATGACAAGATCGTCGGTTTATTAGAAAAAGTGATTTCATTAAATGAAATCGCTAAGTACTTTGATGAATTTTTCCTCTGCAAATCATTTCTGCACTCGTATGTAACGTATTAAAGGATTTGTGTGATTTAGATGCACTTACTGTGTTTTGTATCAATAAATAAGGTTGAAATTTGCAAAAATATATATAAAAGTTTAACTTCATCAAAATTCTACCTGACTTTTTGCAATAAACCAACAATATGTACTTAACAACAAGTTAACAATTCTTAAATTATTAAACAAGAACATTAAAAATGACTCACAAATTTAATTTTTGAAACCAAAATACAATCACGTTTCAAGCATTAATTCTTGTTCAAAGGGAATGTAATTTTTTAAAATTATTTTATGGTTAAAAGTAAAGCATCAAAGTCTGGTCAGATTCAGCATATTAATGATGTAATACTTCAAAGAAACACCGAACAATAATAAGTTCTTAAATTTCAAATAAATGTATAATTTCAATCAAATATCTCATAAAAATAAAAATGAATAAATAAAAGAACAGAAAAGAAACAGACTGCAAGAAATACAATGATTGTAATGATTTTTGAGTGAAGAACTACACATTGTACCATATTAGAATTGAGAGTTTAAGAATTTAGGCATTCGTGATTAATATTAAATATAAACTAATTAAAAAATCGATTTAGTAACCTTTAATGGACTCAAAGGGCATCACATTTAACAATTATCTCATCCAAATTTTTCTTACTACAATTTTTAACTTCGCAATAAAACATTAATATTCGATTCCTTCAATTAAAATTTATAAAGCATTACAAATAATTATATATAAACAATACTGCTAATCTCAAAAATATTAAATATTAAAAAATTACACAATCTTTTTTTAACAAAAAAAAGTTGTACAATAAAGAAAAAAAAAGGAACTTGATAATTTAAAAAAATTAAATACAAAAATAAATAAGTTTTGATTATAAATTTAATACAATAATACCTTAGTTACTCATAATTAACAACACTTTATATTAAGTATTGAAGATGGACTAATTATAATAAGTAACAGTGGCATTACACATAGGTCACATAAAAAAAAAAAAAAAAACTTGGGACTAGTTTTAACATTTCACAAACAGCTCAGTTCCATAAAAATTATTAGTCTGTTTGCATTTCTTCCAGATTCTTTTCTTTACGCACTGAAAAATTCATTGATGAATTGTTTTCTAAGAAGTCTCTAATATCTGAATCTAACTCAGCAATTCCGATGCTATTGGATGTTTCTTCTTCTGATAAATTAACACAATCTAGATTTGTGTTTGAAGAATCATTCCCATTACCATTAGTGGAGTTATCTACAGTATCAGGTACAACGCCCATAGCTTTCCTGATTCCTGGTACAGGTATTATTGCGGCAGGTGGCGCTTGCTTAGCCATTTCTGTCAAACTTTCAACAATTTTGTCTGCCAAATTCAGTTCAGTATCTGATGGGTGAGAAATCTGGCTTAAATGAGACGGCTGAGGAGCAGAGAGCCTCTCATTTTGAACTTGCTGAAGTTTCTCCAAAAGTTGCGATGTTGAGTCAAGTTTGGATTGAACTGGATTAGCATTTGCATTAATTTCCTCAAATTCTTTCAAAAATGAAGTATCTATTCCAAGATCTGAAAGAGTTTTCAACTGATCAAATTCAATTTTAGTATTAGATAAATCAGAATGATTAGAATTAACAGCTCCTTTATTTTCAATTAATTCTCGAACTCTTTCTTCTTCTTCTTGAAATTTCTTCTGTTCATCAATAACATTTTTTGACTTTCTATACTCACCACCCGTCATTAGATCAAGCAAATTATCTACCATTACTAATGTATAATCACAAACTTTAGCTAAATTTAAAACATTATCAACATATCCGGATGTTTCTTCTCCATAAGTTTCATAAACAAGATCTGACTCTTCTTTTGACAAATTGGCAAATGTTGAATCATAGGAAGGGGCATATGAACTAAATGCACCATAATTAAGAGGTTTTACAGCTTTAGCAATATTTCGCCTATGTTCTCTAAAACCCTGTAGTTGACCAGTACCATGACTGAGTTTTCCAATCAGCTGTCCTAAAGTAACTACTCTTTCTCCTGGTCTGTCTGGATCAACACCTTCACCAGGCACAAAAATAGCTAAAGAAGTACTACCATCCTGCCTCTGTCTCAAGAATCCCATACTAAAAGTGGTTTTCCGTCGTTTTAAAAATTCCCTCTCATCATAAGAACAGGCAGATTTTTGAGCAAGCTCTAGTATTTGTTCCGGTGTAAGATCACCATGTATTTCATCAAGTGAACTATGGCGCCTTTTTCTAGGTATATCTTTTTTCTCTGCTTCATCAGATTCGTCTAAACTGTTTTCATCTTCGAAGTCAATCGGCTCACCAGAGTCTAAATCAAAGCCAAGTTGTTCTGGTGAGATTTGCTTTATAAGGGGAAGGGTACGAGCAAGTTGCCGTAGTTTTTGAACACTAAGAAATTTGATTCCAGAATGTAATAATCTTTTTGCAGACTTAAAGTACATGGTATCTTGACGATTGTATTGCATTGCATTGTTACACATTAACTGAAAATCAGATATGTATGCATTTAATGTGGAATAAGCATTATCTTCAATTTTTTGTCGCATAGTTGAAAAATCCATAGGAGTTTTTATCACTTTTGAATATCCAGGAGCAATCTGGTCAGTAACAGGCCAAGCAAAAACCTGGAGAGTATCTTTGTCTTCAAGTTGTTGCTGTAAATAATCCAAAAGCCTTTGCAGTGGAGTTTTATTTTGTTTTTGCCGCAAAGATGGTACTCCAAGACGCTTTTCACGTTCTGACTGAGTTTCAGGTTTATTTGCATTTTCCTTAACAGGTAATTCAGATGCTTCTAGCACTATTGACAAATTTCCATTTTGGGGACCATTAGTCTTTAGTTTTTTCTTTTTCTTCTTTTTCTTTTGATCACTGCCTTCTTTCTTTTTGGAATTCTTATCCAGAGAATTAGCTGACTGTATAGACTCATCAGATGGATCTGTCACATTATTTACAGCCGGTTCATTACTTTCTGATGATCCTTCAAACTTCAGAATCAACCTGAGGGCTGATGGTTTTTCACTAGACTTTTCTTCTTTTTCCTTCTTACTTTTCTTACTGGACCCCATGATCGGTCACTAAAATATACTAGTAAACAAATTGACGTAAGAATACAATTTTAAACCACTTTACAACCCTTGGCATTCTTTGCAAGCATTACTAGATAAAAATAATAATATACAATTTTAAAGAAACTAAATTCGGCTATGCTATTAACTAAACAAAATACAACTTAAGTATTTAAAAGACTTCATATGGAGACGCACAAAAACCACAACCACGAAACTTACCCAAACATAAACACCGCTGCTGTTTGTATTAACAAAGAGCTACTCCTTCTACAAAACCTCGATTCTGAACATTTTAAGTTATTCCCTTTCGGCCACAAAGAAAGAAGAAAGAAAATACTTAGTTATAATTCTTAAGATTGTTCACGAGATCATATGATCTTAAGTCATAGCCATAAATTATTTTAAGATTTACAAGTTAAATACTGGTAGGAGTATAAAGTATTCAAAATATGAGTAATAGGATTTAGAACAGCCAATATGCTTACTTGTCCTTTTTTCCATCCTCAGATGGAGATCTAGAATCATTATTTCTAAATATATTTTTAAAATTTATTTCGTTACCGGGGGAGGGAGGGAAATAATGTTAACTAATCTGGGTATCGAACCCACACCGTTCCTAACAGATCCACTCTAACTCAATCACTTCTAGTCAAGGAAATACAACAAATTACTTTAAAGAAGAAAAATTCAATAAAATCACAGTTTCATAAGCCCTGAATTATGATTGAGGAACTTGGGAATAGAAAACAAGGAGCGCGGTAGGATGAAAAAATAAAACTTAAATGGACGAAAAAATAAATGCAGAATCAGAAGTTAAATAATTTTTAACCGAAAAGCGGAATGGGCAGAGATGATGCTACTGTATATTATAAAAAACATTAACAAAAAAATACTGTCAAGAGAAACGCTAGGCTCTCTTTTGTTCTAGGAAGCGCTGTCAATATCAAAACTGCGGATACCATATCCAAATCTAAAAAAATATGTTGCATGACATAGTGAGTCACGATGGAAAAATTGTGCTAATCGTTTGAAACAATTATGAACTATAGGAGCACATAACAGACTTATTGTAATTACTTGTTGAGATAAATCCTAGATTCTAGCCTGGTGTTTTTTTTCTCAAAAACATAAAATAAATTTGTATTCGAGACAGAAAAAAAACTCGTGTTATTATTAGTGAGAGGGAATAATATTGTCCGCAAGGAAAATAAGATTTTAAGCTCAATACAGGGGCTTAATAATTATTATTAAGCCCCTGTAGGCTCAAGCGCATACAACACGATCTACGGTCCCTTTGTATCGCTGCGGATTATCACGTGGAACTGTGATAGTGGAATAAAGTGACACTACATCCCCCTATTAACGCCGGACAGAAATATATTATCGTTTGGATATATCACGTTTTATAAGGTTATACTACATTCCTGCAACTAGTCCCGGCCAAAGAGTGAAGCAAGCGGGGCAATTGCCAATTGTTAAAAATAAAAACGTATTAAAACAATTAATTTTTGCCTATCAATAAAGCAACTACAGTAGAGAAATATTGAATGAAATAAAATTCAAATATAACAGCTTAAGAAATAAATTTGATTTTAGAAGGGGGAGATGACGCCATTCCCAGGGCGCGGAATGTCTAAGGCCGGCACTGCCTGCGAGTAAAGTAGGCCAATCTTAGTTTTATTTTAAACCAGTTCCCATGTTACTAAAGTCATTCATTAGTTGTAATATCTGAGGAAGTAGGTTTTCTAAAAGTTTTAGTAGATAACCAAAGGAACACCCAGATGTAAATAATACAACATTCCTTATACTTCTCAAAGCTGCATTGAGCTTGGGGGAGGAGGACACCCCTGTATAATACCAAAATATTTACAATATTAATCAACTGCTAGCACTATTCATTTAAGTCCTTGTCATTTTTCAGCATGGAAAATTCTTCAATCAGTTTATCCGAGTCAAGAGTGTGACATTTGACATCACGTTTGAGGATGGCATTGCAACCAACAGCACAGGTTCAACCGCCACGTTTATCCCCTTGGTTAAGTATTTTAATTAAGGGTACCCACTTTATAGAGGCTGGGTGAGCTCTAGGAGGGTCTACTTACCCAGTGTCGCCTCACGGCAAATGAAACAGAATAAATAATTTTTCTGCCTTGAGCCAGGAATCGAACCTGGGACCTTCATTATTGAAAGCTCAGTACCCTACCACTGAGCTACCCCACTCCCTACTGCTGGATTGTGTCAAGAGAATAAAATTGGTTACTTTTTATGTCTGGGAAGGGAATGCACAGAAAAAATGCTTACATTGAGACACAGTTTTGCATACCGTAGTTATGCCAATAACAAGAGATTGGACCACTCCTGCTCGAGATACCTATAGCATTTAGCATTTTATTTTGTTACTCACCTTAATTCAAAACAGGAACCTTTCCCCTTCCCTCCCTGAACAATACACATCAGCATTTTAAATTAGTTAATTTTTTCTTGGTTCCCTCCGCGCTATGGGGTTGTTACTAAGCTTATATTATAAATTATATTTGTTACTATATATTAAAAATTAAGGTGTTTTGCCTGAAAATGTTAGATCTGGACTTGAATGGAACAACTGGTGTGTATTCTGCATGACGGATGATACTCCTTTGGTTCATAGAAATCGAGGATAATTCATTTCAGTAAAAATATTTAAGATCTTCTTATTTTTGTTTGGAGTCATTAAACGTAGGTTACTTCTGTAAAATGGTTCATATAAAAAAATATATATATTTGTCTGACCTTGCTGAAAGAGATGTAAAAAAAAATAATAAAAAAAAATTGGAAAATAATTTATAATGAAGAGGAGATACACACTCATTTTTGTTAAAATACATTTTATTTATGACATAAATTTAAACTACAAAAAAGCAAACATTAATCTATAAAAAACATCTCAATTTACAAATATTATATTAAACCCAAATTCATAAATAATTATATAAAATAGATATTTATATATCGTGAATTAAATAAAATTCAACATTTCACACAGTCTTTTAAATTAAATGTTAGTGAAAAGTTTAGGTACTATCACCAACCAGTCAGATCAATGTTTTTCAATTCCTGTCAATGAAATGGTAAATAAGAGACTATAAATTGACTACAACTTGAATTCATGGATTAAAAGATAAGTTTTATATAAAAGGTTTTTAATTTTTAATAATATATTGAAAAATATTTTTCCAAAAATAATTGCACATGTTCATATTTTACTAAAGATATCTTGTAGAAGCGATTATAAAATAATTAACACAATAACCCACCTTGTTATTTTTAATTTATAAGTTTCTAAAGTTTATCATTTCCATTAAGCAGTACACTTTAGAAGAATGTTTTCAAAATACATTTTGTAAATCTCATGCTAATAGATATTTTTAACTATAAATATATGATTCATATTTTTGTTCTCTTAGATTTATAAGATAGGAAATTCTGCCATTTGAAGAATATCACAATATATTTATGAGCTACTGTAAATTCATAAAAAAGCCACTATATTTCCAAATATAAATTAAATTTAAACAAATTCATTGAAGAATACAGAGGAAGTATCAGTGTGTTCAGACGAATATTTTGAACTTAATGAATTCAACTTTACTTTCTTTTTTAGAAACCTTAAATTATACTATTGCACAAAAATAAGAAAAAACATTATTTGTTTTTAGATATCAATTTACAGTAAATGTGTATCATTATTACATATCTTTATTAAATATTTATGTACAAATTATGATGTATTCAATTCTACAATTTGCACAGCTAAACAAATCAAATCGTACATTCATAAATTTTTAATAGCTTAATTTGTTTTCCATAAAAAGATTTCTTCAATACTCTAAATATAACTTTAATATTTTTAAACATTTTAAACAAGTATTCATGAAAACTTGTTATTTTTCTGTCTTTTTATATATATTTTTTAAAGAACCTTTATGTTAGAACTCTAGAGGATCCTCGATTAAGTACTTCACTTCAACAAATGTTTTGAAAACATAACAAAATATTCATAAGAAGATACAAACCTCTTTTCCTAAATATTTAAAATAATGAACTATTATTAATTTATGATAGTACATCAGCCATACCTGATTTCTTAAAAATATGTGTTAATTAAAAATAATTTAAAAACACAGCCTTCTTCCCAGCAATGGATATATGTTTAAAGCTTAAAATTTAATAACATTATAAATCATTCCATCATTATGAATGGAGAAATAATGAAGAATCCAATGATGGCAATGAAAACTTTTTTCATTGATGTCTTCATTAAATAGAATTTAAAAATTGTCACATTTATAAAAAATTATAAGTTTTAATAATCCATTAACTATAATTGATTGACTAGTAATCCACATGATAAATAATCAAATAAAATAACTACAATTAAAGAATAGAAATCTATGAGGAAATAAACGCAGGCAGGATGTGTTTCTCAGCATTATGCTATTTGAGAAAATAAAACGACAGGGTATATATGATATTCACCTTATCAATCAATTCCCAAAAATGATATCCCAGTTTATGGAAAATGCATAGTTAACTATCATTTGGAACCATTAAAAAATAATCAACAGAGTAAAAATATTATTTAAACATATATTCAATGAGCTCATTAATATAACTATTTCAATTTATTCATCGTTAAAAAATATTTTGAATTTTCCATAAATATTTATGGTCATAGACTAGTCAAATAAGCTTATAATTAATATACATTAAATTATAGTCATGTCAAATCGGTGGGAAAAATTTGTCTCTCACCTTCAGCTAAATATATTTGAAGAGCTCTATAAAGTAAAACTACACCAAGCTGCATCTTTTGTTTTATACTCCAATTTTTAACAATTCCATAATATTCTCCATTTTGGATATTTGTTAAATTTCTACACCCAATGGCGTCGATCATAGCAGCTTCCCTAGTATGTGCCTCAGCAGATATAATATTATGGAATATATATATACAAATAACTCCGGCTGATTTGTCCCATATGGCTTGAATTCTTTTAACTTTTGCACTTAAAATTTTTTTGTTCATGGTTTTAAGAGCTT